AGAAAGAAAGAAAGAAAGAAAGAAAGAAAGAAAGAAAGAAAGAAAGAGAAAGAGTGAGAGAGAACACTGAGAGGTTCAGCCCTGTTCAGTTCTTGAGAGCCTAAGTTCGACTCGTTTGCACTGCTAGGAGCTCTTAGATTTCGCTCGCTGTGCTGCCAATGGGCAGTGTGGGGCAGGGGACTTCTTGCTCGGGGAGGTCGGGGTCAAACTGACGGGCCATCAGTCTCAACTGGACCTAGCTAAATCGATCCCAAAATAGCAGTCGCAACAAAATCCCGCAGTTTGCTGAAGTCATTTTTCAGGGGGTCAGTCAGTCAGTCAGTCAGGTGTCAAAGTTAAAAGTGGACAGGATGCTGCAGCGGCTGCGGCAGCAGTCTTTGGGACCTTCGGGGGTGTGGAAGGCTACAGTGCCTACCTTCGGAACAAGGTGAAGCAGCTCGGCAGAAGGTGGCCGAAGGGCCTGATTTGCACAGCGCGACTGTCTAGCCTTCATCATGACACGAAATCATGAGCCAGAGCAGCATCTGGTCAGGAATAGATTTTCTTGCCCCTAGCCATTTTGGCTTCAGCTGATTGGCTCAAGTGAGAGAGCCGTAGGTAGTAGCCATGACAGCACGGCTTCATCCGAGCTTGTTGGCAACGGCTGCCGTAGTTCTCGCAGTGTGTGCGCCGGCATGGCTGTTGCCAATCTCCTTGCACAAAGTGCCAAAGATCGCTTCAGCTCTCCGGGTAGACCAACCCAAAGCATCGCGCACCCAGAGTGCTTCCACCGCGTCAGGCATTGGCTGCTGCTTAGCAGCTTGTGCCATTGCAAGACAATTTAGATTCCGACGATTTGTCCGGAGCCGAGCCACAGTGGAGCCCATTAGCGCGGTGCCAACAGAGTTGGAAGCTCCTGAAGAACCGACACCCATGGAGACTGTAGAAGTTTCTCGGGCGCAGTTGCTGCGTGGCAGCGCTGGACTAGCAGTAGCTAGCTTGGCCCCCCGTGCCAATGCAGCTGCTGCTACCTGGGTCCAGTACGACTTGAACACTGGTGAGACTTTGTATGATGTCGACTTTGATGAGAACGATCCTAACCATGGATTCATTGTTGGAGCGAGGGCACTCTTCTACGAGACCAAAGACGGGGGTGAGAGATGGGTGTCTCGTTCGTTTGCAAACTTGGGCAAGGGAGAAGACATTAGCTACCGATTTCAGACTGTCTCAGTAAATGGTGATGAGGTTTGGATTGTCGGCAAGCCTCCGCTTCTCCTCCACTCCAAGGATGGCGGAAAGAGTTGGAAAAAAGTCCCAGTGTCCCGCAAGCTTCCTGGAGAACCTAAGATCATCGTGTCCTTGGGCCCTGGGAAGGCAGAGATGGCCACCAATAGTGGAGCCATCTATGTCACTGACAACGATGGTAAGAACTGGAGGTCACAAGTCTCAGAGACCATTGATGCCACGCTGAACCGTGTATCGGCCAGCGGTGTTTCTGGAGGCAGCTACTTCACAGGTAGTGTCAAGGCCATTAAGCGTAATGCTGCTGGACGGTACCTGGCCGTGGCACAGCGTGGGAATTTCTACTTGAGCTTCTCTCCAGGTGACGAGCGTTGGCTTCCTCATAACCGTATCTCGGCCAGACGGATTCAGGGTATGGGATTCAGAGATCCTGCAGATGGTGAGAAGACGGAAGGAGCATGGATGAGTCTCAACGGCGGTGTGCTGACGACCTGCGAGAAGGAAGGCTTCATGGACTTGGGCTCAGACACCAAGGAGCTCTTTCAGCTTGCAAAGATTCGCTCTGGTGGCATTGGCATCATCGACATTGGATTCCGAACACCCACAGAGGGATACGCCACTGGAGGCAGTGGAGTGATTTATTTCACCAAAGATGGCGGAAAGACGTGGAGTTTCGATCCATCTGCGAAGGATTTGCCCTGCAACTTGTACAATGTGAAGTTTTTCCAGAATGGAAAGGTTGGATACATGATCGGTTCCGCAGGCATTTTGCTGCGCCGGACTTTCGAGGTGTGAGGCTATTGCTTGTGATTACAAAGTGTGTCTGGCATGCTCAGATGAGCATTGATGTCAATTTCTTATAGCTTGTATATATATATATATAATCATATATATATATACGTATGTAAAAATACAATAATATATATATATATATTCGCAAGACATTGGAGGTCTCTTCAGTGACCCTCTTATATGGCTGCGCCTCTCTACATCGGGATTTGAGAGAAGACAACCCGAATGATTGATCAGTAGTAGGTATATAATGGTATATTATATGGTGGGTGACGATGTTAGAGCCTGAAACTAAATGCTGAGGATTCCCGGCTCAGACGTGGCTTTGAACGGTGGGGCCAGCTGGCGGCGGCTCTTGGCAGAGGTTGAAGTGGCAGTGCGCCTTGCTCATCCACCAGAGGAGCACATGTTTGCAGTCACACTCACGCACTTTGGTGACAATCCCTCCAACTTCCATTCCCTTGCTCCAAGCACATCACCCATGTGAGAACTTTTGCCCTTGCAGGACTCCATCAAGAACATCGCCGTTGCAGCCATTTGTGCAGGAGGCTGTTACATACCCGCCAACAAAGGTTTGACATGTTTGACAGCTTGCAAGGGATTTTCTGTACGTGTGTTGTATCACTTGTTTCTTGTGCAGTCCAGTTGAGTAGCGTTATATGGCTGTGGGTCAAAACCAGGATACCTTGGTTGACCACCGACAATGAACAGAATAGACGACCAGGGAGGTCAACCTACCAGGAACCCAGGGTCTGGGTTTTGATCCACACCCATATATATAATATAGATATATACACATATTATACATTTTTCAGTTGCAAAGGGATATAAATCATCAACAGATTCAAGGATTGGATATCCGGAGAAGGGAGACCAGTCTCGACTCCCTTGTCAGGTACTGGTGTCCATGGTCATCAGCGCTGGGAGGAGGGAAATTCCGCCAAACCTCTCAGTTGTTTATTTGGTTTGCAAAAGGGCCAAAGGGCCCTATATAGATTGCCCTAGCAATGCATTCGCCCAGTTTCTGTAAAGGGAGTGCAAAGGCTGGCAAGTCAGATCTACATACCTCACGAATTGGGACCTTCAGATTGCTGACCTGTCAGTGCGAAGGACGTGTCCTCCAAGCTGATGTTGACTTTTGCCTTTGAGCCGCTCTTGCAACGCCTCCGCTATGTGGCCGCGAGGGTGTGGGGACCCGTAAGTGTTTCTTTTTTTAAACATGGGGGTTGGGTAGTGAGTAGTGTGTCCTTTTACAGGAGGTGTAGTTTCAAGAAGATATCAAGATGTTGATAGACTTTTGTACAAAACTGTAGGCTTGGCTGTTGGAAGCCAGACAGCCATGAGCTTTTTCCACTCCACGGCAGGTGATTTGGCTCTTGCGGCACCAAAAGTTAGCCGTCTCTGAGTGGATGTCCTTCCTGGCTGAGGGGCCTGGTGCCAGGAGTGGAGCATCACGAGCGTTTTGTTGAATCCCTTTTGAGTTGTTCAGCACACAGCTTCTTTATTATAGGAGGTGTACTCTAGGACTCTAATCTAGGAGGTTTGAAGCCACGTGGCCAGTCTCGGACCACTGAAGGCCCCATCAGGAAAATTTGATGGCTCCCCGCGCCATGGAGCACCTCTAAGTCAGCAGATGACCGGCCGCTCCCCAGCAGTCGTGATGCCATACCAGTCGTGATGCCATTTTTATTTATTTAGTTCCACCAAAGAGTAGGCATTTTGCAGGGCGATTGCATACAATGCGCTCTTTACTGTGAGGATCTCTTCCCCGCTCTTCACTCAGCACCTCACCGTCATGCGCTCCTCTCCGATTGTCCGTGATTTGGTCTACGATGCCTATGATGGCGCAGTTGGAGCTGTAGGCCCCGGGACCATCTTGGAAGGTCGCTATTAATAGCTTCTTGCCCTAGTAGCGATGCCCTTTGCTCCTAGTAGCGTCCTTGCTCCTAGTAGTAAGGCCAGGAGCCCTAGTAGTGTCCATGTCCTGCCTCTGGGGAGCCACAGGGTGATTGGGACCTTGGGCCTAAAGAAGTGCGGCTCTTCGCAGAAGAACAACGAGTTGGCACTTGTTGATCATGTTCCTTTTGCTGGACTGAACTTCGGTCCGTGTAGAACCCAAAGCATGTCCCAAGAATTTACCACAAATTCATCGAAATTCTGGCTCAATGTCGAACTAGACACCAAGGATTCGAGCCAATTAAACATACTTAATACTCCCTGCCACCACGTCAAGCGCTTTGGCAAGGGGAGCAGCTGATGAAGAATCTTACCGGCACATTGACTGCAGCGTGCATCAATCCTGAGCTCATGTTGAGGTGCAGGGTGGTTAGTTTGGGGTTCCAAAGGCGAAGAAGAACTGCTGGAGCTGAACTACGAACAAATTGCCAACAATACTGGAATGATGGCCTTAGCATTACGTGGCAGGGCAGGGGGATTATAAAATATTTACACAGCTGGATAAGAGGGAACCTCGGCAATAGCATGTACTACCTTAGACTTACACTTGTGTCAATCTCATTTTGTTTACTGTATTGTATACTGTATTCTTATGTTCTGCCATTGACCTTTCCCATTCCAATCACCCTGGTGCCAGGCCGCAAACCGAAACAGAGCTGGACTTGAAAGGCCTCAACAAGGAGGCGCCTAAGGAGGTGCGGAAGAACGTCAATACTTGACATGTTGTCTACCGAGTCTACAGATGAAGTGTTGAAGTCACAGGTTTCTGAACTGTCAAGCAAACTTGGTGTGTGACCTCTGCAAAGGTCGGTTGCCAACCCTTGGCTCATACAAAAATCATACAGAATCACACACTGTATTCACTGTATTCAATTACTCAATTCGCGTGCATTCTGGATGATCCTGAGCATGTGCCTGTGTCAATAAGAGGAGACAGGAAGCTACTAGTAACAAGTGCATCGCTACTAGTAACAAGTGCATCGCTACTAGTAACAAGTGCATCGCTACTAGTAACAAGTGCATCGCTACTAGTAACAAGTGCCTTACTAGTAGTAACAAGAAGCTACTAGTAACAAGTGCCTTACTAGTAGTAACAATTGTAATTACTAGCAAAGGAATCTACTAGTAACAAGTGCATCGCTACTAGTAACAAGTCCCTTACTAGTAGTAACAATTGTAATTACTAGCAAAGGAATCTACTAGGTTCACCAGTTTGGGCCACTGAGATTCCCGAAGTTCACACCGGTTGTCGCCAATGGTCCCCTTCGGAGGTCGATGCCAAAGAAGCGGACGTCACTGGACCATCCAGTGGAAGACCACAGGGACAGAGAGCTCAGGAGCTGGGAGGGTGGTGGGAGGGTGGGACATATCAGAGACAAGTAGCAAGAATGTTACTAGCAGTGATGCCCTTGCTCCTAGTAGCTTCTTGCTCCTAGTAGTAAGGCCAGGAGCTACTAGCGTCCTTGCTCCTAGTAGCGATGCCAGGAGCCCCTAGTAGCGTCCTTGTTCCTAGTAGTAAGGCCAGGAGCCCCTAGTAGCGTCCTTGCTCATGATGCCACACACTGAGTATGGCCCTTGAACTTCCGCGTTTGCACTTAGCTTGCATTGCCCCTTCCATTTGCAGCACAAGCTGCTGGCGGACTGCCATTGACTTCCAAAGAGCAGTGAAAGAAAGATCTGTGTAGCTCCGGCCAAAAACGAAAAAAGAGACACGCACGCACACACGCAAGCAAAAGCGATTCATTTCAAGGGTGTGAAATACATGCAACCAATCTTGTATACAATATACATAATATAGATTAACCCATATTGTGCAGTATATATATACACCGTAACCAATCAATAGCACGTGAGTGCAATACTGTAGTGTGATACATTTCGATTTCACGTTGCGCCTCGCTAGGCCAAGGATCGCGTGCTGAAGGAGATGCGCCGCCGGGCCGGTGACTGCGGCCTTGCGGGCAAGCTGCAGGACCGGGTCTTCGAGCCCAAAGAGGTGAAATCCGCTGCGCCGCTGGTGGCGGTACGGCTCCAAAGAGCCTTTGCCAGTTTGGCAGGCACCATGCTGTGCATACGGGCTTCCTTTCGATCGGTGATGCTGAAGTATGCTGAAGTGTCAAGTATTTCAGTCTGATCGCATCACCCACTTGAGGGTGAGGATTATTCGACTGCTGTCTTGAAGTTTTGTGCCTCGAAGGGATTCTACATTCGTGATGAATGCAAATTCTCATTGGAAGCCCGTTGAACAGGTATCTTGGCGACGCAGGCCTATGCTTTTGCGGATGCGTCGCTGACAACGCTCTGCCGACGAGAGGTGGATGAGGCAGAAAGTCTGTTTCGTTTTGGCCTTGGCTTGTCATTATATTTTCTATATTATAAGTGATGAAGATCTATTCTACTCATTCTACTCAACTCATTGGAGGGATAGAGACTGGCCAAGATGCCAGTGCCATGCCCTGAACATGTGAGGCCATGAACGGCATTGACTTCAGCGACGAACAACGCCGTGTGCTTGAGGCGTCGGTCCATGTTGGTGTCTCCAAAGTCAGGGTCCAATTGTGCCCATGACTATGACTATGTGACTACTCAATTGTTGGAGGAAGGCTACATGTTACATACGCATCATCCGAAGGACCATGAATCAAGTTTCCCTAAGAACCTAGGAACCAAATCAATCATGCGAAGAACTGAGCTTTTCTGCGTCCGGTCCCTGCTAGCTTCCTGTCATACTGTCATGCTAAACTGACCTTTTATATAACTACTGGACCTTTTCAAGGCCTACCCAAAAAGAAGAAACGAAACTTTAGCCAATTTTTTTGAAACAGATTTTCGGTCTCCTTGCGCAAGGAGTAGTGACGTCCATGAGAAGCACACATTGAGATGAGTATTTTATTTTGCGCCACACATTAAGTGGAGTTCTTTGTATCACACCGGCAGGCCAGACATCGAGAACTTTACGAGGCTGTGAAAGAGGTGTGCGGCACTGTGCGGCGGTGCTAAGCTTGTGGTCACACTGGTCACAGAAGTTCAAGGGAGCAGTCTTTGTCTTGCAAGCATTTTACAATGAATGAGGATCATGAAGGTTCATGACCAGTTTGTTTGGGCTACAGTTGTTCGTATCTCAGTTTGGATGAGCCGTGACATGTTGACGGACAGCCCTGGATTGTCAGGTGGACGGCCGCCTCAACTCGGTCAAACGCTGCTTGCTCTCACTGCGCGGGGCGCGGTGAAGCCTTATGAGGCGTTGCGGCATTGCCCGTAGAAAAGCCTTGCAAAGATCTTGAAGTAGTCAGTTGCCAGGCTACATAGGCGATTCATGAAGGAGAGACAAGTCCAAAAACTTGGTACTGCAGCTGCCGCGGGTGGATTTGGTTGGGCACTAATTCCACCAGACGCGCGTGTTTGTACACTGCTGAAATTTGGCAGGTGAAAGGCAGGAGCGAGAAAGCGCTGTAAATGACGATTCTGATGCTGAGAGGGAACCAGAGTCGGATTCGCTTCGAATTGGCTTCAGGTACAATCTTGATCCCTCAGTGTTGAGACGTTGATTTTGATCCCTCTCGTTATGCTTCGAACAAAAGTTGTTGGTATCGCCCGACTCTGGTCTCAACGCAATCCGGCTTTAGCTGCCAAATAGCCTTGAAAATTAAATGCAGGGCTTCCTTTCCTGAACTCAGTAGTTTCAATTCAGTCAACTCCAGGGGTTCATTTACTCAAATATCCACCTTTGGTTGAAAGTGCATTTTCAATGAAGTTTGTAGTTTCCATGCTTGCCAGATAAATGTGCAGCACATGCATTGCTGCATGGTCTCAGGTTCTGCAGGTTTTTCAGTGTTCAAGGGCATTCATTTCAATGGCTCTCCCAAACGGACCTCAGCTCCATACTTTTGCACCTGGACATTGAAAGCAACTATATCAAGAGTACACCGTCAATTGGATTGGCAGTAAAGGCAGTATGCCGCAAGTGGCAACTGTGGCTGAAGCAAGCGCAAGAACGTCAGATCATGGGAGATGCAGATTGAACAGTATTGAAGCTCTATGGAACGATGAAATGCTGAAAGACCAAACAAATACGTGAACACAGCATTTTTCGACAAAGCAGACCACAATTTCTTCGGTCCAGGAAGGAAGTTGACTCAAATTAATTCGTGCACCAATTCTGCGTGGTGGGCGGTAAAATGAAGTGATGATCCGTGAAGGGGTTGTTATATGTTGTTATTTTTCTTTTGTTGGTAGAGAATAACATTCATTTTGCCCTTTCTTGCTGTAGCCGTAGCAGGAGTAAACTGCTGAAAAAGGCGAGGGCAACGGAATTGACCTATCGCTTTGCCTGCATGTGTGGGTTCCAGACCTTGCCATATTGGCTCAGCTGACAAGAACAAAGTTGGAGGTCCTGTAGCACTCAAACGGTCGGCATGTTGACCGGTCTGCATACTATCAGGACATTCCAAGATGAATCAAAGTACTCCTAGAGTTGACCCCTTTTTCCCCGATTTGGGGGAATGTCAAACCTTCAACACTGGCGGCATGCATCCATGCAGTATTCCATCTCAGACAGGAGGCAGACAAGACAGACACAGAGCCCCACCTGCGGGCGCTCCAAAGGGTGGGGCTCACGCCCTCCGGCATTTGCTCTATTTATTTGCTATGACGGGAGGGCCAAGAGGGCCTACACCTCAGCATCGATCAAAGATCGTTTGATAGACTTGGCGGACACACTTTGCAGCACTTTGCCATGTAATAGATAGCGCACCGCTAGCTGATAGTACATACATTGCAGACAAGACTTGACAGCTGAATTTAAACTGAGCACATAAATTAAGTGGACTTTGCTACCTAGCAGTCGTGGGAGTCTCATGGTCACCCCGACATTCCAGAGTCTTCCACACCCTGCGACCGCTGTATATTCTCTCAAACTCAAACTGAATGGTCAATCTATCTATATATATATATATGCTTTCTGATTTCCGGACTCAGTTCGGGCATCACCGGTGCTGTGCTGTTGATGTGTGTTGCTTCTATGCAGCGAACAGTCCACCAAATCTTACACAAGTACTTGCTGTCCAGCACGCTGAGGAGTATGATGCTTTGCTGTGTGTTGTGCGAGCTTTTATTTGGCTATGCTAGCTGCTAGCTGTCTTTCAATTACCTCAGTCAAACAATGAAGATGGGTCAACATTTGACGATTGTTTGTACGGATAGTCTCTTGAATAGTTTTTGAGTTCCGAACCATTTGGCTTGACTGACTTGAGGCCTGGTGTGGATCTGGCAGGCCCAGTGTCAGTTCATGGACGGTCAGTTGCTTTTCTTGTTGGCAGCAAGATTCGACACACAGCGGATGACGCTGGTGGTTCACACGATGACAACCGCAAGGTGACATGCAGCTGGAACATAATCCGACCATTGTGTGGCAGGGAATGAAGCAGCTGAAGAGCAGTTTCTCCCTCAGCTCATCTCAGTCGTTGCCGTCAAGCCGACGCCCGGTTTGTTTACCTCGACTGCCACCATAGGATTCCCATGCAGAGAGGGGAACACGTTGAAACACGCTTGCAACGCCTTCTCCTGTGGACTGGACATGCTTTGCTGGTACATTTTACCATTGAAGAAACTCAATCAGCCCCCCTATCTTGTGGCAGCAGTCGATTCGGCTCAAGGCCAGGGGCTAAGCCGTTGATTGTGAAATGGTTCGGCCGATCGTATGTTTGCTTTGGCTGCAGGCACCTGCCCCACACCCCTGGTTGGTTCAGAGCCATGCATGGCAGATAGTTGCCAACCATAAGGGATGGTTCAAGTCGTGCAACGGATGACAAGAAGACAGCTCACGCAGCTTCGCCCCAGCTTGTCAAAGTTTGCTAAAGCTAAAGCCATAGTCTTGCGTTCAGAAAGACATACTCAAACGGGAAAGAAGACAGTTGGTTCAGACCGGAACCAATGATGTTCCATATTTGTGTATCATGATGATCATTAGTCATCAATTCACGGCTCCCTCACCACTGTGTTCGCTCCATCCTTGCCCTGCAGGTCCTTCCATTGCCGGGCTTGCGCGAGATCGTGCGCCACCAGCCAGAGGCGAAGCGTTGTTTGGCGAATGCAAGAGGAACAACACTGATAGAGACTGCTGGGACCTCTCACCATTCTACATTCAAACCCCGTACTGAAGAGCAAAGTCACAGGATAAAGATGATGCAGCTTTCAATAAAGTTTGTAAATCTATTTTTTCTCAGCTGCAACTGAGTTGATCGACACTTTGTTTTGTACGTTTTGCTGGATTAATTTAGCATGCCAAGGTGCTGCCGGAGTGTGCTTGTAAGCCTAGACCATCGTCTTTAGCCAGTTGCAGGTTGTTACATCTCGTGCCATTGGAGAGCAGCTCTTACGATGGTTAGGTTCTAAGACAGTTCCAAGGCAATGTGGCATGAGAACAGCAGGCTGTAGGTACGACGAAGGTGTTTGTACAAATACGTGAAGTTGTTTTTGTTTTCGGTTTGAAGAATTCAGTGCCCATGAATCATTAATGCTGCTCAGGAATGCAGTAGAGAAGCCCTGGCATTTGGGCGGTGAGCTGGGCATCGAATTGGAGCTCGGCTATGACAACTGGTTGAGCCCAGGCAGAAGTACTAGGTGCTTATTGAGCTCCGAAAGGAAAGTGCAATCCAGAAAGTATCACATTTGAAGCTTCTATGGTCTTCATTGATGTTCCAGTTTCCTGGAGATCTCGAGCCTGAGATTTCGGATGCAACATGTCTGAGACGACCCCTTGTAGCAGGTGCATTTGAGGATGGGGAAAGACACGACAAAGACAAATCAGAGACAAGTAGCAAGAATGCTACTAGCAGTAATGCCTTGCTCCTAGTAGCTTCTTGTTACTAGTAGTACGGCCAGGAGCAACTAGTAGCGTCCTTGCTCCTAGTAGCGATGCCCT